TGGCAACCCTACAGAGTCAGAGTTTGAAAGTGAGAGTTGGAACTTGACCTCTGAGTGTGCTGGAGGAAGCCAGCAAAATGATTTAGAAAGAATAATAGCATCAGAATGGCAGGAAGTGAGTACACTTCTGTTGGCTGGAGGATCTCAGTTGCAGTGTTTGGGGCAGACCGACTGGAAATGATGCTATGTCAGGGACCATGTTTGAAAGCCTAAAATCTAAGTTGACAGGAGGTATTCCATGGAGGCTCTGGGAAAGAGGGACTCGAAGGCAGACCCCACACCATGGACTAGTAAGGTCTCACTCTGTCACCCAGGCTGGAGTGCAGTGGCACTGTCTCAGCTCACTGCAGCCTCAACCTCCTGGGCTCAAACATTCCTCCCACCTCAGCCCTCTGAACAGCTGGGACCACAGGTGCATGCCACCATACCCAGCTAATTTTTGTACTTTTTGTGCAGACATGGTTTCACCATGTTGCCCAGGCTGGCTTCGAACTCCTGAGCTCAAGCAGTCTGCCTCAGCTTCCCGAGGTGCTGGAGGTGTTTTATGGATTGTGTACTATTCGATTGTACCCTGTGAAAGTGACCCACCACAATGACCTGTTTTCCTGAGCGACTCTAGAGAGAGAGCAGGAGGGGCTGGTTGCTCCTTTGGGGCTAGAAAGGCAGAGGAGAGAGTTGGAACAAAATTGGGCAGTGGCCTCTGTGCTTCCTGGCTGCCCAGCCCCGAGCCTCCTCTCTGTGGGAACCAGGAGACACACACACTGTTTGAAAATGGCTCTTCCCACAGTCAGACACCACTGGCCAGCTGGGACCTCCCCCCCTGCTGAAAAATGCTCTCCCTTGCAGCGCCCACTAGGAAACCTAGAAGGCCAAACTATTTATGACAGTGTTGCCTTAAAATGTGCTCAGACACCATATTTTATAAAGTTTCTGTCTCTTCTTCTTTCCACTGAGAAGGGAGAAAAAGGAAAAACATTCCCAGGCACCCTTGTCCACCTCCTCAGTTGGAAGTGCAATAAAAAGATTCTTCTGGCCGGGCATGGTGGCTCACGCCTGTAATCCCAGCACTTTGGGTGGACAAGGCAGATGGCTCACTTGTGGCCAAGAATTCTAGACCAGCCTGGCCAACATAGTGAAACCCCGTCTCTACTAAAAATACAAAAATTAGCCCAGCATAGTGGCGCACACCTGTAATCCCAGCTACTCCGAAGGCTGAGGCAGGAAAATCACTTGAACCCAGGAGGCAGAGGCTGCAGTGAGCCTTGTTGCGCCACTGCACTCCAGTCTGGGCGACAGAGCCACACGTCATCTCAAAAACTAAAAATAAAAAATAAGCTGCTTCTCTCTAGTGTTCGCATGTCTCTCAAGACACTCTCCCACTGCCTGGGTGCCCAAACTTGTGTTTATTCCCTTCCCATTCACTACCCTTAACCTCTCAGGTATTAGGTAAATCCAATGTCTTGGGGAAAAGTGGCTAAAAAGAGGAAATAACAGTTTTCTTTCTAACAAAAATATGAAACCATCTAAGAAGAAAAAAATGAAATAGGCTCATCTTTTTCATAGTGTGCAGAGTAAAAGCCATCTTTCCAAAAAAAAAATTCTTTGAAAACCATGATTTTCAAAGTTCTTATAGCTGAGAATACTATTTTTTAAATACAAGTTGAGTATCCCTAATCCAAAATCCAAACTGCACCAAAATCTGGAGCTTCTTGAGCCCTAACATAACACTCAAAGGGATGCTCAACTTACTGGTTGGGCAGCCCTATAATGCAAATATTCCAAAATCCTAAAATAGCTGAAGTCCAAAACACTCCTGATCATAAGCATTTCAGAGAAGGGATACGCACCCTGAATTAACACATTGCATTCCATTTAGTTGTTGTTTATAAAATAAAAACTAGCCCAAGCCTTGCTGAGCGGGCATATCTTGATTGTACAGTTATTGTTGCAGAGGTACATTGTAATGCCGGGTCTGCAGGTCAGCCTGTGCAGGTTCTGGTTTACGGATGGCTGGAAAAGAGCTAGTCCCATTCCAGTTGTCATTGTCAGCCACGTGCATTGTTGAAATAGCCTGCTTTCCTGGCAAAGCAGCCATTGGTATGTTTCCACTTGGCCCAGTGCGTGGAATTGTTTTCATATGCTCCCCGTGCTTTGAGAGGTCTGGGGAGAAGAAAACATGAGAAGGAAGAAGAGGAGTAGGGAAGAGCGGAGGGTCACAGACAGGAAAAGAGGGGGAGAGCGAGAGGGAGCCTGATCATGTGGGTCTGCTAGGACCCTGCATGGGCCACTTTATACCCTGTCCCTGGCCCCAAATGCCCAAGAAGCAGGCTGCCTCAGGGGGCGCTACATGTTGAGGTTCACATCACCAAATCTGTGTCCGAGGCTTGGACCAGGCTTTGGAAAAATGACCCAGTGGCCAATTAAACTTTCCATTGGCAGAGATTGTATGAAAACTTTTTTTTTAGTGAAATCTTTCCATTTGAGTAGTCTATTTTTTAATGAAATGAAACATGTACTGACATGTGCTCTGTGGAGCAATAGGAGAGTGATTAATTAAACTCTGTGCTGCCATTTTGGATGGAGGCACTCAGAGCCAGAATCAGGCATTAGGAGGCGTTTCAGGCGCTGTAACCACCCCAGAAGGATCTGTCAGGCCCTTCTGCCTGTTTTCCCTCCCATTCCTGTGGGCTGCTGGCAGAGACAGAGAAACGGGAGATTTCTGCAGGTCCAAGCTCTGTCATTTCTGAAAAATGAAACCAAGGACTGTACTAAAAGATGCGGCAAGGCAGACGCTTCTTTGGAGAACGCCAGTTCTGCTACATGATTGCCTGTACACCCTTCCTTCCTAATCTTTCTGGGCAATATGTATGAATAAATAAAAACAGTAAATAGCCTCATAATCACTTCAGGTTTTGTGACCAAATGAGGTCAATTCAGATCAGTTCTGCAGTCAAGTGAGTTACAAAAACTTGATGGTATTCAGAGCTTGTTGGATTGTGGAACTGTGGATAAGGAAACGCTGGCCTCTGCCTGCATTTGTCTAGAGCCCAAGGAGAAGGCTGTCTTGCATTCCCGAGCAGCTCCACTTCCTCCCTTGCTTCCAGCTCCCCTCCCCCTCCCGCATTTTCAGCGGCTGGAGGAGGATGTAGGCTAATTAGCCGCAGCCTTGCCGCTCCCTCCGCACATGCAACTGAGGAAGTCCTGGTAAAAGCATGGCACAGAGGCAGGGACCCCGACTCCTTCAGCAAACCTCTCTCCCTAAAATAAGGGGTCGTCCTGACACATGAGTGAGGTTATTTTACAATAATTGCATTGAAGGCCTACTTCAGTACAGCAGAAATAATACAGAATTTTTATCACCTTAAGAAGTGATAATGGCAGAGAATAAGAAAGCATCCTGAAAAGGCCTGGAGAGACATGGGATTGCCGGGCTGTGGTTGACAGCCAGGAGCAGCCAGGATACACTCTGTTCCACAAGGAACAACACGACCAAGAGGACTGGCAGCAGACCCAGAAGTCCAAGTGTTCCCTGTCCAGGGGGACAGGCTGTGCTCTGGCCCAGCGCCTCTGGCTGGGCTGACAGGTTTCTAGCTAGCAGGTCGCCACCTCCCCCAGAAGTAAAGGGAGGTCCGTGCATGTGATATGTGCTCCTGCTGGCTGGAGCCCTGGGAGATAAGGGAAGAAATCTTGGTTTCTATATGGCTTGACATTGGGTTCTTGCTCCTGCAAATTAACCAGGTCAGAAATTGGGGAGGATTCCCGATTATAGCCTCACTGGCCAGGAAGCAACCAAAACATAGCACAGTTTGACAGGGGAGATGGCAGAAGGTGATATAACGAAAAGAGGGAGCAAAACTGGAGAATACTGGCCGGCAATAGTTGGGAAGAGGACAGGACATTGGCCACCCGCTAAGTTTGGTAGTTCCTGTAATGTTAAGGCAGCCAGCTGCAGGAGGCCGCACTCTCTAGGGAGTTAGCGATCTGTCTTCTGTTAGTGCTATGCAGCCCAGTGTTTCAACGTGAGGCAGCTCCCCCAGAGTCAGGAGAGCCTCAAATGATGGATGGCCTGGCTGAGGTCATCAGCAGAGACAGGCCGAAGACATGCTCTGTCTCCCCATCAGATTCACCAAACCTCAGGGCACTGTGGGGTCGCAGGGCCAGACAGTCCCCAGCCATGCTGGCGTGGTGGCAGATCTCTGACAGTGGGGAACCAAGTGTTTGCCCAGGCATGAGGAAAGCAAATTTATGAAGTTCATAAATGGAGTTTATCAATGCTATAAACAAGGGGCAGCGTGCTTTCATTCTGTGCGATTTTTTGTCTGCTTTGTTCATATATTTTTCTCAGCTTAATTGAAGTATAATTTACACACAATAAAATTTAACAATTTTAAGAATGCAGTTTATTGAGTTTTGACAAACATAAACAGTCACTCCACCAGGCACATGATACAGAAGAGGGTTGGCAGATCTGGCTCCCAACCTTTATTTGTTTTGTACGTTTTTGAAGGGTTGTTAAAAAGAAAAAGACAGGGATCATACGTGACCCGCAAAGCCAAAAATATTTATTGTCTGGCCTTTTACAGAAAAAGTTTGTTGACCTGTTGACCCTGACACAGAACCTTCCCATCCCCCTTGGAGTTCCCTCTGGCCCCTTTGCGGGGATTGCTTCTGTCCCCCAGCAGCCACTGATCTGCTTTCTATAGATGTAATTGTGCCTTTTCTAGAATCTCGTATAAATGAACTCGTATAGTATGTTGCCTTTTGTGTCTGGCTTCCTTCACTTATGCTTTTGAGATTCATCCTCTGGGTTTCTGCATGTCTCAGTTCTGCACTCCTTCTTACTCCTGAGCACCATGGCAGGGTTTGACTCCTGGGGGAGGTCGGGGCTCTCCACATGTTTTAGCCACCTGCAGATGCAAAGAAGAAAGGGGAGCTGCCAGTGTGGCCCGTCAGGGCCTGGAGCCCCGGGGTGCCCACTCTCATTGCTCTTGTCTTTGCAGGCATGAACAACCGGGAGGTGCTGGAGCAGGTGGAGCGAGGCTACAGGATGCCCTGCCCTCAGGACTGCCCCATCTCTCTGCATGAGCTCATGATCCACTGCTGGAAAAAGGACCCTGAAGAACGCCCCACTTTTGAGTACTTGCAGGGCTTCCTGGAAGACTACTTTACCGCCACAGAGCCCCAGTACCAACCTGGTGAAAACCTGTAAGGCCCAGGTCTGCGGAGAGAGGCCTTGTCCCAGAGGCTGCCCCACCCCTCCCCATTAGCTTTCAATTCCGTAGCCAGCTGCTCCCCAGCAGCGGAACCGCCCAGGATCAAATTGCATGTGACTCTGAAGCTGACGAACTTCCATGGCCCTCATTAATGACACTTGTCCCCAAATCCGAACCTCCTCTGTGAAGCATTTGAGACAGAACCTTGTTAATTCTCAGACTTTGGAAAATGCATTGTATTGATGTTATGTAAAAGGCCATACCTCTGTTCAGTGTAAATAGTTACTCCAGTGCCAACAATCCTAGTGCTTTCCTTTTTTAAAAATGCAAATCCTATGTGATTTTAACTCTGTCTTCACCTGATTCAACTAAAAAAAAAAGTATTATTTTCCAAAAGTGGCCTCTTTGTCTAAAACAATAAAATTTTTTTTCATGTTTTAACAAAAACCAATCAGGACAGATGTTTTTGTTTTCTTTTTTATAAACATGAATATATATAATATATATGTCTCTGTACATATACAACGTGGGTGCTAACGTGGAGACTGTGGCCAGCCTGGGCCACCAAGCTGTGGGACCCAGAGGGAGGATTTTACTGCCAGGCAGCATCAAAGCACTGGTGTCATTCTGAAAACACCAGCGGCCTCATTTTTGGCTTTTGCAAAACATGACTTTTTTCATTTGGATTGCACTTTTCTGGTTCACGACTGTACCTGTAGATGCTTGTTTACTTTGACTCTTTTCAGGAACCGACCCCCAAGCTGAATTTACAAGTTCTGTTACCAGTATTTGCTTCAGCTTACTGCGATTTGGTCTCAAAACTTAAACATAAGCAAGCAAATGGCTGATACGACCATGAGAACTGGAAGATGGATACCACACAAACTTCTTGTATAAAAATATGAATGCTGAAATGTTTCAGACATTTTTAATTTAATAAACCTGTAACCACATTTAAATGGTCTAAAACCCATAGCATTGTAGTCATGCCAACCTGCTAAACTTTCTCATGCAACTAAAATTTATGGGGGAAATGAGGGTGGGGGCTGTACATTTCCCATTGTAAAATAAGTGTTTTAAATGTCCTGTACTGCTAATGAATGACTTTCTATATGTCCAAGAGTTCTCCAGTGGAATAACTATGCACTACTTTACATTTCATGGGGATGCACAGAAACAGAGTATTACATTTTTAGTTGCTGTTTGTACCAACCTTGAATTACATATGTTTAACAACAACAAATCAAAAATCCTATTTCTATTGAGTTTTTAATACTGACTAGCAACTCTGAAGTCTTAATTCCTTTTTTGTTATGATTTATTTGTGAGTTTACATTTTTAAATTGTTTAACTTTCTTAATTTAGTAATTAAAAAGAGAGCATTTTACATTTGAATTTTTTTTTTTTGTTTATTTGTTTAAATCATGGAAGTGCTCTGGTAGTTCTGTGACACGTCTGTCCCACACCAGATGGTATGGAGTCACCTGGTGAATTTAGCCTTTGTGCAATGATTTGCAAATGACAGAAACATTCAGAACATCTGGAGTTTTTTCCCTCTAGAAAGGGTAGGTTCTTGACCAGCTATTTCAGAGGATCATTAAAGCAAAAGCAGGCATAGCTTACCATTTGAATTTATCAGACATTTTCTCCAACTGGAATTTACTGTGTCCTGCTTGTAGGAGAAATAGACAATCACGAGAAGAATCTTTCTTGTCTCGGAGTCAGTACATGTATTTCCAAATGTCCCTCCACTCTGTAATCAAGGAGTTAACCGAGTGACAACCTTGTGTGGTAGGAAGGGCAGTGAGTGAACGCAGGCTACCTGTCCACACCTGGCTCTCTGACCATTCAGCTTCAGGACCCCGAGCCCCTCTCCTAGCATCTGTCATTTTCAGGGCCTGTCTATAGAACTGAGGGGGTTGGATGAGATCCGTTCCTCAGGTCCGTAGAGCTCTAAGATCCTGTGATTGTAAGATCACCAGTGCCATGCAGGGACATGCAAGGAGGATGGTTTTCCTGGTTGAAATAAATTTTACATTTAGGGAGGGCTTCCAACATTTAAAAAAAAATGAAACATGTTTTCTGATTACTCAAAACTTTATGGCATTGTTTTTAGTATTAATAGACTTGCTAAACATAAAATTTTAAAGATCTTATTACATACATTATTATCACATTAGGTAGTTGATTATCATATTCTAGATATTTTTAAAGATAACTTTGCTTTTAATCCTGACACCCCACTAGGTTGGATAATTTGCAAATATTTCTGGAAGACTTTTATGTTTTGATTCATTCAAAACTATATGATTTAAAAAAAAAAAAAAAAAACCTGTAAAAAAAAGGAAAAATAAAAAAAAAAAAAAAAAAAGGCTCTTCAAACCAAAGTGTAGCCTTTTTATCAGTTGAGTTCATGATGGACTCTCTTATATGAAAGAAAACTAAGGACTTGGGTCACCTCAAGGGCTCTCTTAGGAAACACAGAGTGCTGTAGAGTGAGGTTATAAATACAAAGATGGCAGAGACTTTCAGGTTTTTTATTCCAAGAGGTGAATGTGCTTTCAAGAGATATTCCTGAGGTAGACCATACCAGAGAGTCCCACACGTCCCAAGAAGCTTCTCCTCCTTATAAGTTGTACAAGCTTAGGGTGAGGAAACTGAATTTGCTGACCAGAAAGTTCTCCTGTTAAGAAAGAAAAGCATCGCCTTAATGTCAGGTGATGGCAAGACAGTTTTTGTCATTAGTAACCAGCCAGTGAATAAATATTTGCTTTGTTCCCTTAGGAAAGCTGGCATCTA